CAGGCAGGCAGGCAGGCAGGCAGGCAGGAAGGACACAGTTTTTTCCCCCCCCAGTGACTCAGGCTCTGGAACTCTGGAAAAAAATATTTTTTTAATTGCCTTACAGGGATTGGATGAATTTCAGAAGGGAAAAACAAAAGTATGCTTTCCAATTGGCAGGAACTTTTGCCTCATCCTACCTTCTGGCTCTTGGGCTTTAGTTGGTATAATATTCCTTTTACAATTCCTTTAAAGGGAAAAGTAGTCCCTTCACCGAAATCACTCAAGTTGTGGTTTGTTTTGTTTTTGCAAGTTATCAGATAAATATATACCACCGTGTTATTTTACTTTTAAATCCAGCTAGGATTGATCTGGTTCCATTTGTTTCTTTGCAGATCATTGAAATGTACAGCAAATAGGCTACCAGAACTGGTCTGCAAAGATCAGATCAGTACCGCAAAGAGTTGTTCAATTTAGACATCAGGGAAAGAACAGAACTGAAAAATATTAGATACAAGCATAAGAAGAAATGAACATGAACAAATGCTTCTATGCCTACTTTAGCCCTCATTCTAGCTGGTCATTTATTATTCTATCTAGAATATTAAATTTATCTATTAAGTAGAATTTGTTCATGAACTTATAAAAACTGCAGGTATATACTCAGAGCTTACAGTAACATGAATATGTTATTGATATTGCACCTAGCATCTAATAGGTGCTTCAAGCTGGAACTGAGTGCAACCGAGTCCTTTGAGCTAGATAAAGAGCAAAATAATCTCTTGACAGTACCTTCCTGGAATTATAAGGACAAGGTTTCTTTCAAAAGACTAAAAATTGTTCAGTTATTGAGCATCTACAAAAATGTTCTGAGACTCATTTTGCCTAAGGCAAAGAAGCAGTCACAATTACGGGACTGCTTATCACATGTCCAAACTTACACTGTCAAATTAGTTTCAGGTCAGGAAACAATATGATGCTTATCCGTTTTAATGTTGCATTAATCTGAATATTCAAGACCTGAAATAATCTGTGGGTTTTATTTTGATGGGGGAAGGAGGAGGTAGATACCTTTTTCTTGAGAACTCCATTGAAATGTGAGCACTGATCCATCTAAAGGGCCTCCAGTAATCCATGCACTTCTATAGTGATACAGTGCAGTGGGAACAGCTATAAACACTCAGCAAATGAATCATATCCACCAAGAGCACAGTTACTACTGTGTATGACCTGTTTTCATCTTCCCTCAAAAAAACCCGGATACCTAAAAATGTACCATTTCATATCAGAAGAAGTCCTTATGTTCAGTACAGAGCCTTTTTTTTTTTTTTTATGTTGGAACTAACATTTCAGATGAACAGCTTGCTTGTTCGTACTAATCTTTCATGGATTAACCAACATTTGATGGATTAAAATAACATGATAGATTGCAATTAAATCAGCTTTCATCCATGCTCATTGGTCTGAAATAATCATTTCAGGAAAGAGGTGAATTTTCTTCAGTGTTCATGTTACATTGGGTTATCTTTTGAAGTTTTATCAAGCTGTAGGTGTAGTGATGACCATAACAAACTGTTTTTCACAAATCTTATGTTGCTTTTCCCCAAGATAGGTGGCCATAAGCAAATAGGCATATAGTATGTGCATTTTTTTTCTTTACATTAATATGATCCAGGTGATAAATTGCAGCTCTTTTTCCATCAATGAAAGATCGTTTGCTCTCTGAATAAAAAGATTAATTTGCTCAGTACAGAACAGATTTATGTACTGCCTGCAAGTATAAAAGAATAATCTTTGGGAATTTTTGTAGAAAAATCCCTTTTGAGATTAAGGAACTAAGAAGAATCAAACCTGGTCAAGCTGACCAGGGCAAAGCTGAGAGAGGAGATGAAACATATGCTTTTTTGCATGTTTCTGTGTGTGTGTGTGTGTGTGTGTGTGTGTTTGTGTGTGTGTGTGATAGAGAGAGATGATGATGATGAAGAAGAAGATGATGATGAATTTATCTTTAGAGGTGAAGGAATTAGTGTTGTCCATTCTAAGCAGAAATATTCATCTCATGCCACAGTTTATCACCTTCAAAGGTTCTTCATTCATTAATGGTACTTTGTACTCTTCAAAAGAAGGGGAAACATGAAGAAGCAGATTCCTTTGTTCTAAAGTACATGGATCCTTTCAAAGGATGGCTGAATTTGTTTTACTTTCTACATTCTGCCCCATAGACAGCCAGTTTGGTGTAATGGTTAAGGCACCAGGTTGGAAATCAGAAAATGGTGAGTTCTAGTCCTGCCTTAGGCACAAAGCTGTGTGATCTTGGGCCAGTCACTCTATCTCAGCCCTAGGAAGAAGGCAAGGGCAAACCAATTCTGAAATATTGCCAAGAAAACTGCAGGGACTTGT